AATTAGAGATCTTAGGTTCTTTCGACTTGATTTAGTACTCAGAACCCGGATCTAGTGGTTTTCCTTTGAGATATTTCGATTTGGAACCGAAATTGCAGGTTTTTGGGCTAATTCTGCGGGTTTTCCTCGCCCTGATGTTCTTCACAAGTCGACCTGTGCGGTTGACCGGACTGCATTAGTTATACCGGTCGACCTATGCAGTCCACCGAAGTGCACACCACCGGTCGACCGGTGGTGTTGCATTGCTCTGTCACCGGTCGACCGGTGTACACGGGGTTTGCCCTTGTTTTGTTGAAAACCCCTGTTTTGACCTCAATTTTTGAGGATGACCCAAATTAGCTTCATTTTGTTGGGAATGGTGTCCTAGAAGCATGAGATGTAATAGGATATTTATTATTTATTTAATAAAAGAGTTTATTCATTATTTTATGTGCATATATTTATGAATATTTTATGAATATCAATAAAAATTCCATGATTATTTATGTAACCTTAAAACATTGTATATAAGTGTTATATACGAGAGGATAATGTTTAAGGATAATAATCAAAAAGCAATGTTCATAATGAATTTAATTAAAGTTTGGAATCTTTAATTAAAACATTATTAATACATGTCATTCCCATTTAGAATGGAACGGTGTTATCCGCACTGTTAATATGGTGAGATATTGAATGAGTGTATTTCGCATAATGAGATTATGTGGAACAAGGACACAGACACAATATGAATTTCTAATAATTCCATTAAGTATAGAAATTCTAATTGAGTCTACCGATGGTCATATATAGAATGATCTTAATCCTGAGTTCTTAACAGACTCCTATTTATGGATTCGTGTCTTTTGATTTACTCGGTACGGATTCTGAGATCCTGAATCATATTCCTTGTATTTTGGAGACATGATGAAGTAGGTAGCCGGGAATGTTATTACACGAGATGGAATCCATTCCTTCTTAAGAAAGAAGTAGATAAATAATTCTCTTGAGGGTTGATTCGGTACTTGGACCAGTAGGAGCTCCGATTCATGAATGTGTTTTATGAATCACTGTCCATTAGAGAATCAATGATACTCAAGGATAAAGAAGTAATTAGAGAGGTTAACGGATTTTACCTTGCTCTAATTATGAATTATTTATGGAGGATTGATCTATATGCAATGACTATATCAAACGGACACTTCACAGTTTAGAAGTAATTAATATCTATAATTTCGAGAGTGCAATTCCAAGTTTATAGTGGAGTAACTATTGGAATTAATA